ATTATTATTAATATTATTATTATTATTATTATTATTATTATTATTATTATTGTTGTTGTTGTTGTTGTTGTTGTTGTTATTATTGTTATTATTATTGTTGTTATTATTATTGTTATTATTATTGTTGTTATTATTATTGTTATTATTGTTGTTATTATTATTGTTATTATTAGTGTTATTATTATTGTTATTATTATTGTTATTATTATTATTATTATTATTATTATTATTATTATTATTATTATTATTATTATTATTATTATTATTATTATTATTATTATTATTATTATTATTATTATTATTATTATTATTATTATTATTATTATTATTATTATTATTATTATTATTATTATTATTATTATTATTATTATTATTATTATTATTATTATTATTATTATTATTATTATTATTATTATTATTATTATTATTATTATTATTATTATTATTATTATTATTATTATTATTATTATTATTATTATTATTATTATTATTATTATTATTATTATTATTATTATTATTATTATTATTATTATTATTATTATTATTATTATTATTATTATTATTATTATTATTATTATTATTATTATTATTATTATTATTATTATTATTATTATGTATTGGATATGGACAGCCCTTCATTTCATGATAACGTACGAATGTGATCAGTTTGTATTTTGTACTGGAAGAAGAGTTTGTACGTGATCTTGCCCCTATATATATATATATATAGGGAACGGTTCCGGTGAGAAAGAAGTCTCAGGAGAGGTAAAAAGAATAAAATCTAGCCATTCACATAACCAATCGGACGATGATAAACATACACACGTATAAGACATTCTTTAGAATCATTAATGGAAAGCATTAATGATGAGTTATACTATTCTAATTCGAAACCACCATTAGGGATATTTCTGTAAAGAGCCATGCCCATAATTAAAAAAGCCATTAGTGCGTTTATCTTCAATGATTGCTTTTCCATTTTAAAATTTCGTTTATTTTATAACAAATAGGTCAGAAGGTTGATTTATAGTTTCTAAATTATTATGTGCACTATATGTACGCACAAGTGCAATTTAGATGAGCATGTACTTATTTATTAGGCAGTTGCACTTTTTATTTAATCTATTATGCACTTTTAGATTTTAGATGAGCATGCACTTTTTTATTACGTAGTTGCACTTTTTAGTTAATGTATTATGCATGCACTTACGAGTAAATTATTTAAAATGAACTTTATAGTCTCCATGATATTTTTTATTGAGTGGATACGTGCAGCATGTGTATGTATAAGTGCAATATAGATGATGTAATTATTTATTAAGTAATTGCATTTTAAATTAATTTCTCATGCACTTACGAGTGAAATAATTAAAATTAACTTTTCCTATAATATTTTATTTATTAAGTGGACAAACTTTTATTTAAATGGTATGCACTTTATTTTGAATGTTACATTTTTGAACATTAAGTTGCACTAAAAATGATACACCGTGCACATTGTACACTTTAAAAGTGCATAATAAAAAAAGTCAACACCATGCACTTTAAATGTTTAGTTTAGTGCACTTTTATATATACTTTTTAATATAATTAAAGAGTTGAAGAAAATAAATATTTTAGAAATATATATTGTCACAAAGTAAAATAATATATACTACTTTAAAAAAAAAGAGTATATTTTTAAAAAATTACTACTTACTAAAGAGCATTCCATTGGGTAAAGAGAGTAGTTCCATAGCGTTGAAGAAAAATAAAAATAATATAATAACACGTCAAAAAATTAAAGGACACTAAACACAAAATAAGAGAAAGAAATAATTAATAAATATATGAAAACTGAAAAGGAAATACTTAATGTACTACGGTACTAACAATTACCAAATGGACATAGTAGTGCCCACAATTCCGGAGGTTAGTTTTAAGGCTAATTAATGCATAGATGAAATGACCAAAAGGCCATTTAGACATGTACACGGTAGTTTGAAAAACATTGTTAATCCAATAGTTGTGATCTATTCTTTTTTGCTCTCCTAAGATTAAGTTCTCACATGAACCTAAATCTATATATATATATATATATATATATATATATATATATATATATAGAGAGAGAGAGAGAGAGAGAGAGAGAGAAAGAGAGAGTAGAGATCATGTGAGAATGCCATCTTATGAGAGAAATGAGAATGATTCATAGCCATCCGATGTTGAACTTTTTTAATACGTCGACTCTCTTTCATAAGGGTAAAGAAGAGATTTTCCCATCACATTAATGTTATCCAATTAATTCCATAACCGTCTCCTACAATTTCTCACAAACAACTATCTTATCAAATTTTATTTCGATTCCTTTACCATTTTTCAGAGCACTACCCACTTTAGCAAATTACCTTTTATTTTCTTAGCCAATCAAAATAATTCTTTATCCAATTTTTTTGATTCATTCACTCCTTCAATATTCTGTCCAGATTCACAACGGAAGATATCCCTTTTTCATTCTTTCTAAATAAAAGACTTAATCATTTCATCATTTTTTGTCTAAATTATCTTCTACTTTATTTTTTATTATCTTTTTCTTTGATTTTCTTTATATATACATATATCTTCTGTTTAATTTTTACTTGGACTGTAATTTGCTGGTTTGATCTGGTCTGGTTTCTTTGTATTTTTATAACCATCCAAGTCTGGTCTGATCTGGTCTGGTCTGTCTGGTCTGTCTGGTCTGGGACGAAACAGTCCAAGTAAAAACATCCTTATGCATTATAACTATCTCTGTCTAAATTAGTGCACATATTATATGATAGTAATGTACTATATTCAATTCATAAAATTATCGTATACACTGTTGCACTCGTTAATGTTTAACATTAACTATGATAAAAAAACGCTAATGAACTAAAAATAAAGATCATCTGCAATGGACTATGAGCTCCCCTTCATGGTGCATAACTATTCAAGTAAAGTGCAATTACTTATTAGAAGAAAATGCATGACATTCGTGAAAAAGAAAATGCCATAATATGAATAAAGTGCATATAGTGCACTATGCTTCATTTAAAATAGCATCATTCAACCATTTTATTTGCAATTTTACTATTCTTCACTCTATCTTTGTGTTGGACCATAAATTAACCTAATTAACTATTATAAGTGAGTGATGTGTAACTTTTCTATTAATTTCAAATTAGTGCAGAATATTAAAATGCAAGGTGCAAATATTACGAATTGAAGTGTAAAAGTGAATGCACTTATACAACAAACTCCATTTTGATTTTTTTCAAACTTTAGTTTATTTATTTGATTAAGTTTATAATTTAAATAATCTATTAAACATCACATATGTTCACATACAATTTGATTCAAATGAATAAAACATGACGTTAGGAGAGAAATGAGAGTGATTTTAGCATTGGATTATGGTATTGTGCATTATGTGAAATATAAATGTACCATACACATGGTACAGCCGGGTATTTTTGTAATTAAATTCAGGAAGGCTGATTAAATCAACACTAGTCGATAATTTCCGTCGCTGAAGATTAGTTCCAGACGACAACTTCTCGCTGTATGAGGCTATCAGCCCTCCGCAGCGCAAGTGCGCAACTCACCTTCCGATTTAAAAGCCGCGTTAAAATCAAATACCCAATTCGAAAAAAAAACCAACTCAATGTAGAACGGTGCCCAATTTCAATAGCAACTACTCCGTATGTAGTGGATGCCAGAATTGCAATTTTGTATGATGAAAGTAAAAAATAAAGACGGTGATCAAATCAACTGCCCTAGGAATTTAACATGAAAAAATAAATGATCTGTTGATCTAGGTGTTTCTTCACGGTTAAATGGTTAATGATCTTTTAAAACTTTGAGACGAAATCTTGCCTGATGCTGTGAATAATCATTATCTTTTCCATTTTAAAAATAAATGATTATTTACTAATGAATATGAATATTTGAGTACATTAAAATGAGGCATGGATTTTTTTTAATACTCATTTCGTAAGTTATGTATGCTCATTTGGTACTTATGTTATACTAATTTAGGTCAGAGATCACGATACGCAATTGCATATTTTCAATACTCAATATAAGACACTCAATGCTTATTGAAAATGTTTTGATGCTTGATTAACAGAGCTTACGATTTCGTATCGACACATATTTCAAAAGTACAATATACATTAAATTCGCATATTTTAATTCACAGGAGTTGATTATATATGTAATTTAAAACATTTTTAAACTCAAATGAGTATACGGCTAAAAGAAATTAACACACACAAATCAATATTGAGCACATTGAAAATGCGTTTTTATGTTAAATTCAAATGGGTATAACGCCCAATATAGATGTACACAAATGAGTTTTTGAATATTCTGATACTCATTTTGTAAGTTATGTATGCTCATTTGATACTGCTTTATGCTCATTTTGAAATGTGAATTTCACATTTCAAATGTATAATACTCCGTACTACATTAGATTCACATATTGAAATTAATTGAAATTGATTATAAACATAATTTAAGAATTCTTTATAAATGAAAAAATAATAGAAAGAAAGTAAAGTACAATATATGGAGTTGATATCACAATACTCATATTCGACTCTAAATGCTCAGTAGAATACATCTGATGCTCATTAAAAGTGTGTTAATGCTCATCTAACAAAAACCGATATTTTCACAGATATTACGAAAATGCCACCATTTTTTTAGTTGTGATATCAGCTTTTTTGTAATAACACGGTGCTCATTATTAGATGCTTAATACTCATTAAAATTGAACTATTGATCATTAACAGTACACTAATGCTCATTAAAGTTAAACAGCGCAGTATATTTTGAGATAATCATTTGACTGCCTTTGAAATTTGATATGAGTAAACTAGACTTAATGAATAAGATGTTCCAAAAAATTCATCAAAAAATTTCAACGGAACCGTCCCCACTAATGACAACCGGATAAAGCCTTTGGTGATTTGCACTGTTTTTGTAAGTTCGACAGTTCGAGAGCTTATTTGGTATTAAAACTGCCAAAAAACAGAACTTGATGAGGAGGGAGAGATAGAGAGCCGCCTCAGATCGACTCGACGGGTGTCTGATTCTTGAGCCGAGCGACCCACTACTTGTGCTCTCTACATTATGTTCCGCCACGCAGCTACTCGCTTATGGAACCGATCAGCCTCTTCCGCCAGAGCGTCGCGGCAGTTCTCCTCGCCGTCGGCCGACGAAGCCTTTGTATCCGCCTGGAGAAGGGTGGTTCCGACCGTTGATCCTCCCAAGACTCCCCTCTCCTTCATGAAATTTCGGCCGCCAACCTCATCCGCTACCCCGTCCAAGCTCAAAATCAACTTCATTCTTCCATATGCTTCCGAGTTCTCTAACAACGAAGTAATTTTCTATTACTCGCGGCATTCTTGGCTTACTTTTTATCCTTACTTTACCTCAATTTATGCTCTATATTTGCTTCAGATTCCTGTACAAAATTCAAGCTTTTCTGGTGGTTTTGCTTAGGCAATGGTCTGTTGAGATTGGCGATGAGAAAGTTTTTGCTGAATTCGTATCATTTTGAAAATGCTTTCTTTATTCTTCTTTGGTAATAATGCATTAGCATATTAAGCTGTATTGCTGTTTATATGGCATAATAATAATCCCCAAGAAATGTTGGACATAAGCTGCTACTATCAAATATCAATGCACTGTAAAGTGTCATCTTAACCATGAGAAATCTCGAGACTGTTGAATGGGTGGTAATATTTGGTTCAAAGGAAATAGTTGGGATTGAGGTACAAGGATGACTATAAGCCATTCCTTTTTAATGTGAGTGCACAAATTCTCTACAAGTAGTTAAATGTGACTTTTAAGAAGGAAAGTAAATGGTTCAAGGAAACTGCATAACCTCATTCTAATGAACTGCTACCTCTATTCCCTAATATTGGAACAAGATGGAGTGATGCAGTTTGTTAGAAAACTAGAATTATGTGGTTGATATTAAATTGGTAAAATGTGAATAAAGTACGAATGAATTAGAACCACACAAATATTAGTAAATATGGTACAACACAAACTTAGTGGGACGGACGAGAAAGGGAAAATGGGACAATCATAGACGGGGGAGAGAGTAATATATATACTCAAATACTTCACAAGCATGAAATTGTGTAGGCTCTTACAATTATGTGATTAAACTCATTTTTAAGTACTAAGGTATGTAGATCAATAGTTCAAAAGAATGTTTGACATGATTTGTTTTCAAGAATCACTGAGTTTACTTTTCTGTTTTAGTTAGTGTAAGATTGTGTTTGAGATGACTTGTTTTGAAAAATAACTGGTTTTCATCCGAAGAAGAGAACTTTTACTTTGAAGGAAGAAAAATTTTAGTAACGAAAAGAAAAAGAACTAAGAAGCGCATTGTGGTTAAAAGTATATAGAGCTGTTTGAAAAGAAAACGCTATTAGTGCTTAAATGAGAAAGCACCTCTTATACTCTTATAGCACAAGAAATGCCAAACAAGATCTATGTCTGCCCGACTGCCCCTGTTAAATTGTGCACTTTATGTCATCAGGGTGTTCAAGAGCCAGTTTGTCTGTCTCTCAACTTCAACTTTGAAACAAAAAATTGTAACTTTAATTGTTTAAGGTTCTCCCCGGTCATCTCCTACACATCTTTGTTAAATGCAAAAACCCAATATGTTGTTAGTTCTGCGCTTCTACTTGTATTTCATTTTCTTTTCGAGGCCTCATAAGACAATTTGTGGAACTCATATATTGGTAGGGAAGGGGTGTTCAAGAGGCCTTGTAAGAGTTTGTTTTCTGCTTAGACCCCCCCCCCCCCCCCCACACACACACACATTTTCATTCCTTCCAAATTTCCCCCCTATTTCCATCTATAGTTCCTCTCACTAGCTTTATCCGCATTCCAAACGGACCCTAAATGCATGTGGGTGCTCTGTGCTCATGCTGAATAAGGTTATGTGTTGCAGGTTGACATGGTTATTGTATCAACGACAACGGGGGAGTTGGGTATCCTCCCAGGACATGTAGCCACAATTGCTGAGCTAAAGCCCGGAGTAATGTCAGTGCATGAAGGAAATGATGTGATGAAATATTTTGTTAGCGGTGGGTTTGCATTTGTGCATTCAAACTCTGTTACAGATATCATGGCTCTCGAGGCAGTTCCCATTGAAAAAATTGATCCAGACATAGTGGAGAAAGGGCTTGCAGAGTTGAAACAGAAGCTTAGCTCTGCATCTACCGAGTTGCAAAAAGCTGAAGCACAAATCGGTGTTGATGTGCTAACTGCGCTTAATTTTGCCGTTATGGGTGGCTAGGCTGTGTTGGTTTTTAAAATACTACGTACGTTCTTTCTTTGAAAAATCAGTACATTTTTAGCCGATTTACACTTAACACCAAACAGGCCCTAAGGCCTAAGTAGGTAGGTTCTTGTTACCTCTGGAGGTTTTGGAATGATAAACAGCTTCCTTTTGTGTTATGTAACCTTCGGAAACTGTGTAGCGAAGAGATCTTGTAAAGATGTACTACGTATCAACTATCAATCATTAAAAAATGAATTGAAGTGATTTGTGTTCAATTTTATATTTAAAGTGATTATGCGTATATAAAAACGTGATTTAATTTTAAAATGATCTGCCAAAGTTTAGGCGGCCGTCTCCCCCATGGTTAGGGGTGTTTTTATCCGCTTTCGTCTTCGATGAAGTGCGACTTTCGTCCGTCTTTCGTGAGGCTCTCTTCTTCGATAGACCGCAGCGCCTATAGATCAGAAGGTCATGGACGAAGCGTGGGGCTAGGGGCTGGAACAGATCTGGATCGGAGGCAAGGAGTGGAAGATGTTACACTATTGTTGGACCGCCCCCCTCCTGAACCGCCGACATGGAGTGCATGAGATTTTAGGGTTTGAAAGCAGTATTTTAATTTTACTATTTACTTGTTATTTATTTTTAATGATAAGATTGTTAATTTTTCTGTTGGTTAATTTTATTGTTGTAAGACTGTTGCATTAGGATTGAGTTATAGGAGGTCTGTTTTAACCGTTGTTGGCTCATTTATGTCCATTATAGGATCAGCGAGTTATATTGCTTTTTTGGAGATGATTAACTCTAAGTCTGGTTCGATGGCTGACAGTTGTCTATGGTCCTTTTGTCGTTTTATCCCCTATCTGAATGTTGTGATTTGAATTTAAGTCATCTGTTTTGACGATAAAAAATGATTATAGGTATTATCGCAGTTGATTGATACGGAGTATTTAAAACGTGGATTGAATTTTGCAGAACAATAAATTAAAATGTTTACAAAATTACTCGTGGAGCACTGGCCCAATAAGAATATGTGTTCAACAATTATTTGGGCATTTGCAAACAGCTTCGATAGTAGGGGTGGAAGGGCCCAGGTCGGATCGGTCCGGGCCTGGGTCGGGTCATGTTTACTTTTTATTATATTTTCCATGTTTGTTCCTACCCCACCCCCAAACACCCCCAAACCACCCAGCCCAACCCGTCTACCCCCAATCCATTTGAAAAAACAAAAAAAAAACTTTGTTGGCCTGGACCGGCCGGGCCGGTTCTGAGAAACCTTAAGCCCGTGACCAGCCCCCCCCCCCCCCCCCCCCTCCCCGGTCCGGTCCCAGGCCCGGTCCCGGTCAACCGGACTGGTCCGGTACCGAACAGTGGTGATCCGGGCCGGGCACCGGGCGGTCTGACTGGTCCCAGTCCACCCCTATTCGAGAGTTTGAGACCTTAAATTAATGAGTCGTGTCAGCGTGCCTAAACTCCTTTTAGGCCATTGTTATCTACTTACTTACTAATAAAGTAGAACCTTCAAATTGAAATTGATTTGTAAATAATTGCTATTGGGTACAATTAATTAAATAATTGCTATTAAAGACAACAATTAAATTTACCTCACGTTCATTCCTCTCAATACTTCTTAAATGGTAAGAGTTGCATCATCTTTTAATCTATATATGGTATCAATAATCAATAGATATCATTAATTAAAATTCCATATTGCATATTTCGAAATCTACGTTTCTTGGATACTATTCATTCATTGTGGGTAAACTTTTTACTAATTAATAAAAGATGTTCTTGGATTAACAAATTATCTTCAATTTTTATAAATATTTGGTCAATTTATAAATAACAACTTATTTATTCACTCATCAAATAAGGAGTTTCAATTTTATCCTTTTATTAGAACTAAACTATTTTGTGAATAAAACCTACTAAGTTGCAGTGAAGTACAAGATATATCTATTTTTTTTAATACCTTTAATGAAAGCACCATATTATTGGAAAATGTGTAGATTTTAATTTGAACATCCATTGAGAAATTCAAATAAAACCCCATAAAAATGAGTCTATTTGTATAAAAAAAATTATTAGAAAGTGTATTTGTATTTTTTATTCTTGCTTTCTCATTAGCCCATGCATATAGAGGTTTAACAAAAAATTATTTTAAATTAAATGTAATAAGAATAAAGTAAGAATGATTTAGAATCACACAAACTTTAACGAATTTGAAATGTGACGATATTAGTGGGACGAATCAAAAAAATGTGGGACAATCTTAGCGGGGCGGAGGACGTATAAGCCATTTACAAAATATTCTAAGAAATGAGTAGATTACGACAATAAATACTACACAATCACATATTAATATATTATTATTCTTATTATTATGTGTAATAAATAAGAGAGCATAAAAAAAGTTTAAATTATTATGTTCATGTAATTACACATTACTTTAATTGAAAAAATCTGGGTTCAAACTTATTTCGTACGGAGCATTTTTTTAAATTATATTCATTAAAGTCACTAAATTACCAAAGAAAGAAAGCTACGGAAACGACTTGACATGATTCCCTAAGCCCTATTCATCCATTAGGCTGCCCACAATCCGCTCCCGTCAATAAATCAAATTTACCAGCATTTCATACGTATTCACTCAATTAATTAGTTTTTCTCTGCATCCCAGCACCGTCAATATATTCACCCAGCACAGTTTTTTTAAAATAAATGTATAAATCCTTACTTTTATTATCACACATCAATTATATGACACGTTTTTTTACAAATATTTATGATTTAAAATGTCAAACATTTCGATGTAAGAAAATAATTTTTTACAAAATATTTTTTTACAAAATAATTTTTTCCGTAGGTATTTATTTTTTTAGTTTTCAATCAAAATATGTACTACTACATAGTTTTCAATCAAAATATGTACTACTATATAGTATTATCAAAACATTTCAATAAATACTAACAATAAAATACAAAAAAAAATCATAATGCTGATTACGATAATTATACCAGGTGGTCGACGGTGGCCTTTTGTTAAGAATTCATGGCTCGATCGTTGAGTTAGGCCTTTATTCAAAGATTTTGGGCCGGTTCAGATGCCTGAATCTCTATATTATTACGAGTCTGATTCCAATCAAAAGTGATAGATATTGAACTCATAAAGTAAAAATAAAATAAGAATAATTTAGAACCACATAAATTTTATCAAATTTGGCATTGACCAATGTTAATGAGGCAGACCCAAAAGAAAAGGTAAGACAATCTTAACAAAGTGAAGGAAGTAATATATTTATGAGCTCGACTACTACTGACGTTGAAGTTTATAGGGTTGATTACATTGAGAGAGTTTCTTTGAAATTCGCCGGAATTATTAGGTTGGAATAACGCTGACGACCACAAGGTCCAGTGACTGGTCGAGAGGATTATTGTTTAATTTCGAGGTGACTGGCGTGGCGGATTTGGTATTCTGTATTTTTGGCTATAGTTATGTACTGAATTGGTTATTTTTTATTGTTGTTGATGGACCGGCTCAAGTTTGACAGAGAATTCAAATGAATCAATTTTGTACACCGATTTCTAAAGGTAATAAAGAGCCGAGCCTTCTGAGGTAACGTCCCCTCCACGATCACGAAGCTGGTTCCGCCACTGGGGCTATATGAGAATACTATCTTAGGAGGGAAATGATAATGATTCTGTAGCGTCGGACTATGTTATATATTGTTCATCATGTAAAACAAAAAATGTGAATTGGAAAATGCGCATTTCGACTATCTAAAATGAATGTGCACATTTAAATTTTGCATTACTTTAATTATAAATGTGAATTTTAGTGAAACATAATTTGCATCATTTTGGAATGTTCTCATTTATCACATTAACAAATATTCTCACCGAAACGGGATCCTATGTGTATGTGTGTGTTAGTGTGTTTGTTTTAGAACAGTTCTAAGAACCTCAATATGCACCCGGGGCAATGCCCGGGTAAAACACTAGTATTGTTTTAAAGCTATATTAATCAGCTCAATTTAATAAATATAAGAAATCACTCTTAATTGATGGATAAATTATGCTGCGTGTTTGCGGGTTCCCAACACCGCTGTGGAAGAATTCTCGTCACTCATTGATCAAACACCATTAATTTGAATGTTCTCAACAAAAAGCTAGCTTACTCACATACCGATACTTGAGGTGCACTGATATCCCTCGTCATCACACGAGCTAGCCCCGGCGGGGCTATAAGGTGATGATTTCAAGTGTGGAGATTGATCCACTCAATCACTACCACTTGTTAAAATGAAGGTAGATTCTATGGTACCCCAAATGTACCGTACATTTGTCCAAATGGACCAATAAAAATGATGCAGTTGAATTATTTAAATCTAAATTAAAAAACATATAATGATTTGGACCAATCAAATGCATGGTAGGTACGGTACCCCATTTTTTAAATGGGTACCGGAGTTGTCACCTAAAATGAATTCAATTTATATTATTAACTAATACTCCATTGTCATATTTTGGAGGGAGTAACTGCAGTAGCTGACAACATGGATTCGGTGCCCCATTGTCATTAAAGTGGTGAAGAATTTTATTCTATAGATTACAAGATTTACGGCAATACGGAGTATATTAAAAGGATATTGATATTGATATTTACTAAAACTTCAGACATAACGAGAAATTGACGATACAGTAAAAAAAAAACGAGAAATTGACGATTGATCTTGTTTACTCTTCATCCCAATATTATAGGTAGGGGTCACATTTGAGAGATCCAGAATAAAATTATCACAGAAAGAAACTTGTAGAGTGTGCTTCATGATTTTTTAAAAATATATGGAAAACTCCGTCGAGATTTCTTCCATTATTATAAATAAATCAATGTTTACATGAAATCCTATATTATTGAAAATTAATATCGATATCTGTCATAATTTTCATTAATCTCTATCAGATAATCTCTTTAAGACACTTGATTGTATCCATAATGCAACAAAAATTCAATACATTTGAAGACCAATCCACATATCTGAAAGGCTTTCCAATTGAAGATTAAGCCAATTAAATGATTCTTCATTAAGGATCAAACAACTTGAAGACAGGGGGCGCCATTGATGAGCGATTCTATAAATAATCATGAAGATTCAAAAAATTGAACAACTCGAAGAATCTAAGATTTATTTCAAATTTATGTGAAGAATTAGAGAACCTATTTAGAGTTTGTAATAATACTTCTTATATATGTTTGATTTGTGGTCAATTTAAAGTTGA